TCTAATCTAGTAAATCTACATCTAAACTTATATATATATTAGCAAGTTCAAAAGTTCAAGTCAAATTAAGCACTCTTAAGAGAATATGGACATTTCTACCCTTATAAGGCAGGGTAGACCTTCTGATTGGTCTGTTGGCTTGTTCGGCCTACTGGTTTGTTTAAGCCATTTGGCCTACTTGTTGGACTTAGACTAGTCTAAACTCTTACACTTTTACACTACCACCAATCATGGTTAGAAGTTGGGACTTGACAAGAATTTTCTTTCAAAAAGGGTTTAGGCTTTAACAAGTTAAGGCTTGATAGATTAAGGAAAATGAGAAAAATTAGTAAATGAACATTAAAGTAATTTTATTAATCAATTAAAAAAGAGAATAAAGGTCAATTGTTCAACCAAAGAGGTCAATGTGCAAAACTGATGAAGGGTCCGAAATCGATCAACTAATCCATTAAAGCCAAATATAGTCAACTCCGATCGATTAGTCCATTATAGCTGACCTAATGCTCTCCCTTAGCTAACAAGTTATGACATTCGTTTTCTTCATGGCATATTTCTAACTTCCTGATCAGAGGTACTAGAAATAAAAATAAGTACAATCCTCAGCCTCAAATTAACATTCATTAACCTCATTTCGTTCCATTCCTTTCAACAATTTTATAACAGCTCCAAATCAGTTTTAAGTAGAAAATTCCATTCTTTAAGTTTCAAAAAACATAAATAATAAATAAAAGTGATAAAATGCAGAAAATTGGATTTTTGCACTACAACTAGAAATTACAAGAAATACTTGAGGTTCAGATGAACACTGTGAACCAATTATTCGTTAATGTTTCAATGAAGATGGGGGCAATCCCTAGTCGGAGTTGATGGCAAAAACCGTAAAAAAGAAAAACAAATACATGATAAAAGGAAAACAAGCTGCAGGGACAACCTAATTGACATTTTACAGTTCTCAGACATTCAACTCTCTTTAGAAGAAACGGTGTCAAGTGAAGAGAATTAAGGCACATAAAATTACTTGGGAAGTCCGGTTTCTGGGTTGAGAAGAGCGAGGTTCTCATTTGTCAGCAGAACAGGGCCTCTCCCAGGTCTTGTACAGATGAAATAAGAGACTTCCCCAGGGTATTTCTGGGCTGCAGCATTTTCCTTAATTTCAGGAGGTGGCGATAAAGCTTCCACATCCTTCAACCCCTCAAGTCCAGCATCTTGTAGTATCGACTTATCACCAATAACATAGCTGAATAAAAGGAAAATAAAAGGAAAAGGAAAAAGTAAATAAAGGCAAAATCCGAGAACTCTTCATTGGAGAAGGGTGTTACCATGCAGTGACAAAAGAGCCTATAGGATACATGAGTTGATATTTTTCTTATGATCACATCTATTATAATAATCTGACATCATGCTCTTACCACCTGGATTTCCATTTACCTGTCCAGATCAATATCAGACTTTGGAGGAAAGTTGTATAGCAGCCGCTGAAGCAATTGAGCAGCAGCCTTTCTATTTCGTGCAATTAAAACTGCATTTGGCCCAGCATCAAATGTATATGCCACCTGTCAATTTTTCATCATCAGTAAGTTACTTGATCAGTACAAAAGTTTTTCATCATCAATTGAGCAGCAGCCGAAAAGCAAAACAAGAGTGAAGTCCTAGAAGTTCCAGCACAACTGCTGAGAGATTGAGTGAGAGATTTTGATCCAAAAATATGATGCTTGACATTAAACGTATTGCCAAGGTTGAGACGCTGATGGCAAGAAATGTCCAAGGCAACATAAATGCCATGTATATAAAGCTGCACTAAAACATGTTAATTTATTGGAAAGCAACAGCTATTGTCTTACAAGGTCACTAATCAGACTTAAAGCACCACAGTGTGGGTAAATATCTTTCCAAATGAACAACTTGGTTATCATCAACCATTGGTTTCATGTTAAGATCATAAAGCAATTTGCCACTTACATTAGATGGCTTATTCATACTCTTATTTGCGGAGTATTCTTTGCAATCCAATTAGAGGAAAAGAAGAAGAACAAAAATGACGGAACTCAAACATTGTCAACAGAAAAAAAAGAAAGAAAGCAGTTCGTCTTTTGCAAATACACTAACTTATGGGAGGAGGGAAAGAAGGGAATTTATGATGCAGCAATTTCTTATTCGAGTGTTGGAAGTTATTATAATATTTGACATTTCAGATAATTTAGCAGAAGTTTAATTGCACCAACTCAGTACATAAGAACTTCTGTTATCAAATTTTATCTGGGCAATGAAAATATTAGAAGTTGTGGCAATTTTGAAATGCAGACTGCATTTAACCTTCATCTGAAATTTACTCCATCATTGCACCACTTAACAATTATCAAAAGAATACTAAGCTTGAGCCAACAAATTAATCAATCCATAATTGCACCAGTATACCATCATGAAAACTATGGTAGTTATGAATGAACACTAAATAGCTATTAGCAATATGGTACTGATTCATGTATGAAGCTTGAATGCCTTTCAAATAAACATAATGTATGAAGCCTGAACAAACAAAATGATTCACAAATGAAGCAATCAAAATGACTCTTGAGAGGCACAGTGCAGCCTAGAACCTCCAATGATATAACATAAATATTCCACTACCCCAGCAAATTGACTCCCATAACACACAAAATGATTCATGGGTAGCTAGCAACCCCATGTTTTATTGTCCTTACAACAGTTAACAGCTGTCTTGCAACCTTTCTTAATTTAGCAGGATTACTAATTACATGATAAATGCTCATGATTAAAGTCATTTACTTCAGAACAAAATGGCAGAAATAAACAAACCTGAGGGGATCCTTCAGAACGGTTCCACTTCTCAACATAGCTAATTATCCTGAAAAGTAGTCATCTCATCAACACTTAACTCTAGAGTCTAAGGGTGAAACTCCAAAAGAGAATAAACAAACTTAAAACAGGGCTTGCCTGTGGGATGTATCATTCATGTAGAATATGGGGGGACACGTATCCAAGCAGACTGCATGGAACTGGTTACTATCAGCACAAGTCAATTGTGCAAAAGATTCAAAACTACGATTCTTTATGGCTTCTTCCATCTTTAATATGCGTTTCGGCACAACTTCCTATTACAGTCCAAAACAGCAACAAGAAAGGCATGAGTCAATACAACACTAAACAATCTTAGATATTTTTATACATTACAAAATCTAAAGACAACCAGATACCAAGGAAAAGAAATCAAGCGAATTCTTTGGTGGTAGTGGGACGGGAGTAGATATCCTCTCAAGAAAAGTTGAAAAGGGTAGAACCAT